ACAGTCATCTCTAAGGACCGCGACGACATGAATAACGAAGATTTGTGAAAGGGTTGTCCTTTGAAAGCCGAGCTCATCAGCCGGTCTGTGTTCTGCAGCCAGGAGAGATGACAGAGAGGCAGTGTGTCATTCAGATGATAGCCACGTCCCCACAGAGGCATGTCATTCAGCTGATAGCCATGTCCCCACTGATTATACAGTCAAGAGGGGGAAGCTGATACACTGCTGTATTCTCTCCTCCACTGCGTCTCCTGAGGAGTCTGGTTAGAAAGAGAAGAGCTTCACACTGTCAGGAGCATTTACTGGTGAGTTTTACCTGATAAGCAAGTTCAATCTTTCAACAAAGTTCAGTCTGGGAGCTTTTAATTGATGGTTTCACTTTGATTTGTTGGTAATTTTACCAAACTTTTCCAATCCTATTACAGTATTGTTGGTTTGTAGTTTGATGCATCGAGTAAAACCCTTCTTAAAATCACCTGCATGGTGCCAGAATGACATCAGTCGGAGCCCAAGTATATCTGGCACTGACGTGATCTGAATCGGAGATCACAACACAATAAGCTGTAGATCAGTACGTGATGGGATCAGCCGGCCGCATGTGGAGGCTCGTGAGCTGATCTCAAAGTAACCACGTTCCTTCCCAGTGCTTTGGAAAGTCGCCGAACTTTTAGGTTTGCCTCAAAAGCAGCAATAGTCCCAAGTGATTCTGAAATGAGTGTCTATCTCATTAGACACAGACGTCCAAGCCCTGCCGAAGCAATCTCCATACTGGAATCAGAAGCACAAAGAACATTTACTAACTAGTGTAACAACCTGATTTATTCACGATCGAGCACTTTTACATCATAACTTCATAAGTACAATACTACACACTGTGTGTCTTACAATTTGAGTACAACTATCTATTATGATATATCTGATATATCGATCATCTCTGGTTTTATCTTTATTCTACTTTTGTGATTCTTGTCTTGTTTTTTTTTTACTGCTTCATTTTTATTGCTGCTCATTGTGTAAATTCTCCTTGTGAGGGATTCGTGAATTTGATCTGTTCTCATCTTATCTTATCTTAGTTTAGGTTCTCTTGCCCTATCTTAGCCCAGCGTATCTTATCTCATCTTAGTTAACCTTAGCATAGCTTAGCTTAGCTTAGCTTAGTTCGCTTATCTTATCTTGCTCGTACCAGGCGTAGCCCCAAACACCCGTAAATCAGATGCCATCATCCAGATCCAGATCACATGTGAACCCCTTTAGCTCTGTTTCTTGAAGTTTTCATGTGACAAACATCCCCACAATCACTCAGCAACAGCTTCACAGCCCTAAACCCAAACGGAACAACCGTGGGCTCAATGGATCAGAGACGATTCTGAGAATCTACAAACACAATCATTGTCTGTGTCTCCATCAGCAGGTCAGTGAGATCTGAACACCTCCAGCAAAAACTGACATTTTAGTTTCCGTCTTATCAAAACTGTAAATAATGGCTCGTCGGTGACAATGACGTTGTTAAACCTGCTCTAAAGATCCTCAGCTGCAACTCTTCCAAATATATCGGAACAAAGATAAGGCACCAAAGCTTCCTCTTCACTGTACGACCCACAATCTGCAACCTCTGAAACCTGATGGCTGGTTGTGTTTTAACAGCAGATACATGCAGGTCGAAAGGCTTCATGTCAGGTGTGAATAGAGCCTCAGACTTACGGATTTAAAAACAGAGAGGATGAAATTTTGGAAAGAAATCACGTCAGAGGAGAACAGCAGAAGAATCTGAAACCAGTAAATGCACCAAGCAAACAAGGACATGGCATAGATGAGCCTCAGGCGCTGAAAGTAAAATGAGGACACTTTAAAAAAAAAAAAAAAAGTTTGTGATTTCATGCAAAGAGCAGCTAAGAGAGAAAAAACCCTAAATCATGGATGCTACCTGAATACTGCTGGAAGATTTTTTGTTTTTTTATAACTTAGTAAGTAACCAGAATGAAAGTCAGACAAAATAAACTTTTTTTTTTCTGCTTAGTGAGATTTTACGCCTGCAGCCTCTTTTGTTATCTCATTGTGGCTTATTTGTGTGTCTGAGCGATAAGCCCGAACCCAAACTTTTGTGATTTCCGAACAAACCCTTGTCTTCCTGTGTGTGCACACTGATAGGCCCGTGGGGAACACTTACACTCGGCAACTGGAGGTAAACACACCAGAGAGGGAACATGTGGACTGAATGTTCCCTGCTGGCAACGAAACATAAAAAACATCTTTTTATTGATAGTCTTCCTAAAACACTTTCCATCAGTGAAAACATGATTAAAGGCTTCAGTCAACCTGCGTGTCTTTGCCTGTGAATCAGTGGAGAATGATGAAAGCCAGAGGATGAATTACACTGGATGAGGGATGTCTGTCTTTACTCTGTTTTTGTGGCCGCTGCTGGAAAAGAAAAGATTGAAGTAAGAAAAGAAAAAAGGAGGAAACAGATGCAGAAAGACAGATTTTACTCAGTGGAGTGAAGACCTGCGGATGCCTTTGTTCCAGACCTGATGATGGACGCTAATTCAAGGAGAACACTTTGATCTAAGTGTTTGTGAGTGGAGACGGAGAACTGAGCGTCTTGTTCTTTGTGAGTGTCCACGCTTCACCTGCAGCAGCAAGACGACGCAGGAATTCAGGTTATTTCAGCTGGAATCTCCTCCTCATGTGTTTTCATCCACCTCCCACCTCACACAGAGACGTTTTGTTCTCCTGCGGCACAAAACATTCAGCCCATTCCATTGAAAAGCACAATTTCAGTGGATTCTGAGGTCTTTACCTCTAATTGAAGTCTACAAGCGCTGAAATAGAGAGTTCAAAAGTCATTTAAGTTTTGGTCCAGGTTGGATTTCTGTCTGTGTCTTTGGGGTGAAGGTGGCCGACGGGGACTTTAGGGTCAGAATGTTCCCTGTGTTTCCTGGTCATTTATCTCGTCATTCAAGATGGGATTTGATTGAAAATGAACTGGTTTGCAGGTGCTGGTTCTTAAAAATGTGTGGAATGCTGAGAAGAACTTGTGTACTGGTCCAACCAACAACATTCAGATCAAATCCAATCAAAATCAAAATCAAATCAAATCAAATCAGGTTTATTGTCATGTTGCTGTACATACACAGTAGTACAGGCAAGACGAGAGAGCGTTTCTTCAGGATTATTCAACCAGCAAGTCCTGCGGATAAGACACCAAACATTCACTCTAGCTGTCTCCTGAAGGGGGCGCTGCGTCCATGCACGCCACCATTCGTTGAATATGGTGAACCTCTTCAGGTCCTGGTTGGTCTTCAGGGACACAAAGACACACATGATGGTGTGATGATGGTGAAGCTGCAGATGCTGCCCAGAGCTGTCTGTCTGTCTGTCTGTCTGTCTGTCTGTCTGCATCCCCTCCAGCTGTATGTCTGTCTGGGATGTTGTCATGGAGCCATGTTTCTGTTAAAGCAAACACACAGCAGTCCCTCCACTCTCTGAGGGTTTATCCCAACAAACGTAGCTCATCCAGCTTGTTGTGGAGGGAGCGGACATTGGAGAGCAGGAGGACGGTCCTGCTGGTCTGGAGGGGTTAGCCTTTAGCCTAGCACCCCAGCTCTCTTCTCTTCCTCCTCCTTTGTTTACGTTCGGACCGTTTGCGCTTCCTTCTCTCTCGTGTAACTGTCGGCATAGTCTCCTATTGGACTCCGTGTTGGTGTAGTATGTCCACATCACAACCGACTGCCGTTCACTGTCCTGACGCCCAGCAAAGTCTCCCGTTTTGTGGAATAGACAAGACACTCAAAACGTTCACTTTCGTTGTCTCCTGAAGGGGCCGCTGTGTCTATGCGCGCCACCATCACCATGGCAACCTTCAGAAAGTAGCTTGGAATGTATGTAAAATACAGGCGTCACCGCTTTAAAGCCTCAAGTTTGTGGTATTTTCATTACCATGTTGGTCTTTTGCAACTTAAGAACTGAGTGGTGGATCTGACCGGAGAACCTTAAGACGCTGTAATGTAGCAGCATCCTGTACAGTCAGACCTGTTTTTGCAACCAGAGGAGTCGCCCCCCACTGGCTGATAAAAAGAATGCAGGTTTAAGATACTTGAGCAACGGCTTCACTCTCAGACCCACAGGCTGCTTTTGCTTTGCATTTTTATTTAGACCCAGGTTTGTGGTGGAATAGTCCTTTTTTGATGGTGGTTTCCAATCGAGTGAAATGACCCAAATGTATCTAAGTGACAGCCGTGATAGGAGCTGGTTGAATTTTGTAGATACTAAGGAAGCGCCTCCTTTCATATCTCCTGTAGCACAGATGAACCAGTTCATCCTTCACAAATGGAAAAGACATAACGGCGTCCTCCAGTTGACACTATCCATCGCATGTCACCAAGTGGAAGTGATTCTCTTTACCCTGCTCTTGTTTTTTTATACGTCCTCATGAATTCTTCCTCAGATCTTTACTTGATCTCATGACCGTGAAGGTTAAGGAAAGCTGTTTAGGAAAGACATGGGAGAATGATGGTGTGTCGTTTTTTAGATGCTTTGACTGCAACTCAAGGTTCATGCCGGTGATAATGCAGTTGGGGTAATTGAGTTGCTACAACGCCGCAGTAGGATAGGTGACGATGACTGACTGGTTATCTCTGTACTGAACCACTGATGTACTTCAGCACCACCCGAGGCACCAGTATCCAGTTTTACCTGTAATGTCATTTAGACCAGTAACACACAGTTTCCCCTGTTGTTAAGGTTTGATGGTAAAAATAATTAACAACTGAACAATCCTTTCATGGACCAGATTTTTTTGAGGCAGGATGTTTCGTCAAACGAACTACTCCAGATATCTTTTTCTGTTTTGTTGGTTCAAATACAGTGTTTTGAAAGGGGGTCATTTGTTAAAAGTTCTGTATCAGATGCAGGTTCTGATCTCAGCATGGATGTAGGCACTCTTGATCCAGATGCTGAACCCTGCACACTCTCACAGCATGTGTTTGGTTGTGTGTCTGCAGGTGGTCGACTGTTCGTGGGATGAGACGGTGAAGATCTACACACCTGCCTGCCTGTCTGCTGCAGCTCACAGTACAGCACCTTAAAGCACACACACTTACACCGGTCTGAGGATGTTGTGTTTAATGAATGTACCATAGCTGGTACCTACCAAACCCCGGCATTTATTCTTAAGTTTGATCATGAACTCCATCTATTTCATCCCAAACATTAAAGCTTGATAGCTGGACGGTTAGGGCGCATGTTAAGGATGTTACGAGAACCAACATTTTGGCACCAAATTGATTTATGAAAACATGACATAGTTTCATGTGTTTCCATGGTAACACAGTTAGTGAGGGTTTTTTTTTTTTACTACAACAGCAGCATGTGGAATGATGGTGCTAAGTTGTGTGTCTTTTGCAGCATTTTTCCTCACACAACCTCCACCAATGCTACATTATTAATATTGTTTGGCAAACGCCGTCCTGCCGATATCTTGCTTAAGCTAACATAGTGCCTAACATAATCTCATTTAGACCAACGTAGCAGCTAATGTTATCTTTTTTAAGCTAATATCGCAGCTAATACTATCTTGTTAGGGCTAGCATAGCGCCTAACATTACCTTGTTTAACACAGCGGTTAACAATATCTAGTTTGCGCTAATGCAGCTGCTAATGTTATCTTGTTTAGGCCGTTGTAGTGGCTAACGTCTTGTTTAGGGTAATTTAGTGGCTAATGTTATCTTTTTTTAAGCTAATATCACAGCTAGTACTAGCTTGTTAGGGCTAACATAGCGCCTAACATTACCTTGTTTAACATAGCGGCTAACAATATCTAGTTTGCGCAAATGCAGCTGCTAATGTTATCTTGTTTAGGCCAGTGCAGTGACTAACGTCTTGTTTAGGGAAATTTAGCGGCTACTGTTATCTTGTTTACGCTACCGTAGCAGCTAACATTATCTTAATAATGTTATGACGTGAGCTGACGCTGCTTATAACGTATCTAGCTAGCTTAGCATTTAGTCGATAATAATGTAACATTGTGTACGCCGGTGTTAACACATTATACAGCTTTTAAAAAAGAAATTAAGTAATTTATGCTAAAATATATCACTGGGAATACGTTTTAGTTTATTTTTGTTTTCAATTTACTTTTAGAACTGTGGAATTTTAATGTTTTTGGTACCAAACATCATATTCGTGGTATCTCGTGACGTCCCTACATGCTGCCCAACCGTCCTCTGTGTGATCTCAGCTGAGGACCTTTGTTGCATCACAGTCCCTCGTTCCTCTCGTTTCCCAGCTGCCTGCTCACCGCAAATGTCAAAAAAGAGCAAAGCAACAACAACAACAGTTTTGCCTGTGTTATCCCCAGATACAGACACACACACGTACAGTACGCACACACATGATTATCAGCAGCTCTGAGACTTTGATTTAACTTTCATACTGGAACGCTTCAAAAAGTTTCACCGTAAACCCTGAGAACCAAAACACGTGTTTGCAGTGAGGAGATAAAACCAGTGTGTGTGTTTGTTATCAAAGTTAAAACCTCACACCAGTGTGAGGCAGAAAATATGTTCTTCCATCGTCTAGTAACATTTGTTTTTTAATTCTGAGATAATTTCCTGTAAGAGCTGGAGTTTATTGGGATGTTTGAGAACAGTCTCAATCATGACATTATTGCATTTAACTCAAACTGTGATGCTCTGAATCAGGATGTCCATGATGTCCATGTAATTATGCATTTCTGCTTTATCTCTGTGATATTCAGGTAATCATCAGAACAAATGTCAGCCGTGACTAATTTCAACTTTAGTACATGATCAGTGTAAATGTGCCTGTTGATGATGATGAACATGACCTGTATGTGCAGTGCCTTCAATAAAGCAGCAAATGTCACTGTTGACTGTAACAGTGACCTTTGCTATAACAGTGACACTGTTGTTTTCATTTCAGCTTCAGAACAACCTACGATGCTGTCCATACAACTACATTTACATCAACACTTCTCAAAAATATCCAATAGTTCTGGTGCTTTCGAAATGTTTATGAAACTTGAGAGTAAAATTTCATCCTGGACCTTTAATGCAGCAGTTTGAGGCAAAAGTTTTGTTGAAAGTTAGCAAGAAGGTAAACTTACAAACACAATGATGTGTGATTCTGGAAAAGGGGTTTAAAAGTCGGTTCAACTGCATCAGCACAGAGATCACAAGTAAAACCCTGTTAACTCATTAGAACTGCACTGGTTCAGTCTGTTTATCCCACACATAGACAAAAGAACTCCATAAAATAATATGAATGTTGTAAAAACAGGGATGATTGTGCACATTATTAACGTCTCCATGGAAAGTGCCAAAAATGGTACCAAATGAAAAGAAAACAACAACAATCACATCCAGTTGCAGCAACACTGTCAGAGAGCTACAGATAACAGTGGAAATGCAGTTAGACAGACCATAAATCCACCTTTACTCTTCTGTTGCACCAAACAGCCCGTGTTAGAACTATTTTATAGTGTTTAAAATTCTACATATTGATGAATTGCTGTATAATTGAATGTTGTCGCTGGTACAAAGTACAATTATGTAGCTTAAACAATGATTATTTAAAAAAAAAAAAAAAATCTATATTAGCTTTATTAAAGATGATCTAATGAATAATCAATCAATAACTATTTTACTGACTAAATTATCAGTTTAGACATTTTCAAGTAAGAATGCCCAGTTTGTGATGTTTCTAGCTGCTAAGATGACAAGTTGTTATTGATTGTGTATGACAGTAAACTGAGCACCTTTGGATGTCTGTCCAGATATTTAAAGATGGTTATCAGTTATTGCTGCTGGACAAGACAACCACTGGATTTAGGTATTGATTACATGAGCTTTGATGTCGATATGTTTTCTTAGTATTTGGGGAAAATGCCACAGAAAAGTCTGATGTGTGAACAGCAGCTGTTCCACTGTGGACTACATTATAATACTGGTTTTTTTTTGGTCTGTATCTATTGAAATTTTAGGAAAAAAACTATAAATATATGTATAAATAAATGATGTGAGTATTATGCAGGAATCACTTATTGGATTACTATTCTTTAGTGTGAAGAAATCTGAAAAACCTGCAGATTCTCAGGCAGGATTTAAAGCATTCCAGTTCTCCTCAGTCTGTTCTACACAATAATAATCATTTTCTGGGTCTCCTAACTGCAAAATCTAGAACATCACAGCTCCTGTATAATGCCTGTTTTCCCCTTTGACTGCTCCTCCATGTAAATCATTCTTTAATGACCTAAAATTTTCTTGAAGTGATGCAGTTCTTTTTCTGTGAATATTGACAACAAGAAGCGCCAAAGCGAGCACAGACGTTTACAGGATACAGACCAGCTGAAGAACATACGAACATCCAGGAAGGCGTCACATGCCAGCGGTTTGCACTTTTGCACACATTGCACTTACTGATTCGATGCTACATGTTTCCTCATTCATTCATTCATTCATTGTGTGCAACATATTAATTTGGAAATCCATATTGACAATAGATTCAGGCCTGTTCCAATTCTGTGTCCTCAGTCAAATTACTCAGCCTAATCTATATTACCTATAGTTAGTGGAACAATGGATGCATACATTTAGGGTTTTCTTCTTCTTCTCCTTTCCCTCCCTCCTTGCAGAGCGAGCAGAGTGTTGGTCTAAATCCTCGGTCTGGTCTTAATCTCCCCACGTTTGAAAGCGTTTTCCTCTGTCTCTGCGTGTTAATTGGAAGCTAATGGTCTGCGCTCGATAAGGGCGGATCTCCCTCCCTCGTGGCCTGGAAACTGATTTTCTGATGAATTATTTCAATTAAAATATTGTCCAAGTCATTTCCACGCCTGCTATGACTGATGGTGATGTTTCTGTTTTTGATAAGAAGGAGGCTCACAGAAATAAAAATAAAAGGCGTGTCGCTCTCCACCGTGATGGCAAACATCCAGACGTTTATATCTACAGAGAGAAAAGCTGCACGAGTTTTCTACTGAAGAGAAATCTTCATGCTCCAGCTGACAGCAGTCATTTAGGCAGTAAATTTGTTTCACGAAGAACTTGAGCAGCCTGCACAGAGGCCTGAACTCAACACCTTTGAGTCAAGTCACGACTGGTGGGAGGGAATCTCTGCAACAACATCAACATCTGATGGACAGACTGAAGGAACTGTTCACGAAAATCTAAATATCCAGACTTGATCACACTGGGACACATTCTGCATCGGAGTCCTGATCCAGTTTATCGAGTGCACAAGGGGACGGTGCAGAGAGTCTGCTCAGGATGCAGACTTCGCTCTTTAAATCACCAACAATCCCAAATGATTTATTTATTTTTATATCTACGGTACAACAGTGAAACATCCATCCAGCTGTGATGTGAGGATCCTTGTACGATGATCTAATGTTGATGAAGCTCATGTATAAGGAAAGTGTGATTGTATGTCCTGACCAGATCCGTTGCAGCCACTCTGACAGGAAGCACAAGTTTCCAGTGTCAGTGCCATTAAGAACCGTTCATGAGTCACTTGTAGACCTGATGAAAGCTAACATGTAGACTCAGGTTTAGGAAACACTTCCATGACAACAAAGTTGGCACCTTGCGTCAATCTGCAAGAATAAATAAAAAAAGCAAGTGTAAAAGTTCTAAACTGTGCAGTTCCTTGAATGTCCACTTGAGGCGCCCTTCAAACCTGAGTCAATCCCCACAGACCCCCACGTTAAAATGTCCAACTTTACAGAAGAAAAATACAAATGTTAGGTCTGGTACAAGAACTGTTCTCGTCTATAGAGCTCATTTTCCCATTCGTGACACCTGTACAGGGGGTGGATTCTTCTACAACTCACCTGGTGGCTCTGAGTGGATACCATCACAGGACAGCCTCCGGCCCAGAAATGTTAGTATGACCCACATCGCTCCACTCTCGCTCCACCTCTCTGCTCATTATTGGATTAGCTGGGAGTTATTCGGAGTCAGGCACTGCCAAGACAGTAACAGCCCAACACTGAAGCTGCTCTACTTTAAGGTGATGTTACCAGAATATATAACAGCCAAACTTGAAAACATTGGACCAGTGGTGTTGCTCTGCTGATGCCAGTGGTGTCATGACACTGTGTGCACGTATAGTAGACATGTAACTGTGGGAGGAAAATGGTTTTCAGTCACTAAGCCACTAAGTAATTTGTCAAATGATTCAAGACATGCTGTTTTAATGACCATAGAAATGATGTTTATCATTGTATCCACATGAGCTGCATGGGTGGAGCGGTGGTTAGCATCGTCCGGATTCCTCCCACATGTTGAGGTTAATTGGTGATTCTAAATTGTCTGTAGGTGTGAATGTGAGTGTGCTTGGTTGTCTGTCTCTAAGTGTGGCCCTGTGATAGACTGGTGACCTGTCCAGGTGAACCTGCCTTCACCCTGGGTTTGGCTCCAGCCCCCCATGACCCTAGTGAGGATTAAGCGGTGTATAGATGATGGATGGATGGATGTTTAAGAGCTTTCAGCAAAAAGGAACTAAACTTATCTGGTTTCTCAAATGTGCAGATTTCCTGTTTGCCTTTCTTTCATATTGGGGTAAACTGAGGATTTTGGGGGTGTTGGATCTGCAGATCGCCTCATTTCTGAGAAACTGTGACACATTTTTTAATTTCCCAAATTTTACAGATTAATGAATAAACAATAAAACATTGACAGATGTTTTTAAAAACAAGTCTCTCGTTGACACTCTCTAGCGTATGCTCCTCCTGCACTGTGTCGATGTGTGAGCTGATTTTTCTTGCCCTGAGCTGCTTCTTCTTACTAATGTGATTTTGCGCCTAATATCTGTAAAATCTGCTGATTATTTAATCCTGCATCCATCCTGTACGTGTTTCTTGCAATAGGCTTTGGCAACATATAAATCCTTCTATCTGTCATGCTAATAAAGCAGATTTAAGCTGAACTGAAACGAACTGTGAGGAGAGAGCAGGAGGTACAGACAGATACAGACGTCCAGGTTCCTGCAGTTCTTACCAACAAAATCACCAGCAGCTGTCATCCAGCCAGTTTCTCACCTCCACCAGACTGATGCTGTGATAATGATGGAAGCAAAAGGCACGACACAATTCAGAAGTTCAAGTTTGTTTTATACAGACTTTCATTAGGATTATATTTTGAACTCATTCTACAACAGAAGGTTTCTGTATCGTCTGTTCTCACCTGCAAAATACACTTAGAATGACAAGATAACATTAGCAAAAGGTGTGACAAAGGGACACTTTGCATGCAGCTTAGCAGCAATATGCTCACTTGCTGTAACCTTCAGGATCTCTGGGTTTTACCAAGTTGTGTTCAAGGGCTGAGTTTCCCAAAGCAGTGCAGTGGTTTGGTGTCTCTTTGTAGCTGTGCTGAAATGAGCACATTGTTTATCTCTGGTAGCTGCTCTTTTTTAATTTTAATAGAAAAACAGAAAATTCAACAGAACCATGAAGCTCAGAGGCAGATTGTGGTTGTTTTGTGTCTCTTTGTAGTTTTGTACCTCTTGCTTGTTGCTCATCTTCAGTTGTTTTGCATCTCTGTAGTTTGTGTCTCTTTGTAGTTATTTGTGCCTCTTTATCGTTATTTTTCATGTCTTTACAGTTAGTTGTGCACCTATTTGTTGTTGTTTTGTGCCTCTTTGTACTGGTTTGGAGTGTTTTTGTAGCTTCGTGTCTCTTTGTAGTCGTGTTGCATTTCTCTGTAGTTTTGTATCTCTATGATTTTGTCTCTTTGTGGTAGATTTGTGTAGCTTTGTAGCTGTCCTATGCCTCTTTGTAGTATAAGTTTCTTTGTTGCCATTTCACACCTTTTTGTCGTTTGGCACCTCTTTGTATTCGCTTTGTGTCACTGTGAGATAGTGTGTTGTGTGTGTCTCTTTGCAGCGCCGTGGAAACGAACACTT